ACATCCAATTGTTATGACCCTAATGGTTGATTCCTTTGACCAAAAAAAAAGGGTTGATTCCTCGTAACCTTTCTCAATTTGCCACTTGGCTTTATTGCCACGTGGTTGGATTTTCCTTTCCACTTTGGGAAGAAATTCAAGATATATACCTTCTTAACAAAACTTTTGCTTCATCTTTGTCCGTTTTCTTTCCTAAGAGAGTTGGACATTTTTCCAATTCTCTCAACCCGACCTTTATCCTCTTCTCCCTTCTGTACTAGCTAACACAGAATTACAAAGCAGATGGAGAATTCAGGGGGTCATGTTGTTGTGCTCACATATCCTGCCCAAGGCCACATTAACCCTCTTCTCCAATTTGCCAAATGCTTAGCTTCCAAAGGACTGAAAGCCACCTTTGCCACTACCCCCTACACAGCTAAATTCATCGCTGCAAAAGGTGTACAAGTCATGCCAATCTCTGATGGCTTTGACAATGGAGGATTCAGGGATGCTCCCAATGTTGCAGACTACCTTGAATCATTCAAAACAGTGGGTTCAAGGACTCTAACTGAGCTCATCTTGAAGCTCAATCAGTCTAGTGATTCACCTGTCAATTGCCTGGTCTATGATTCATTGCTTCCTTGGGCCGTCGACGTGGCAAAAAAGTTAGACATTTTTTCTGTTGTGTTGTTGACAAATTCTGCCTCTGTTTGTTCTTTGTATTGGCAAATCCACAGAGGATTCCTCCCTTTTCCTGTTGAGAAAGATAAAGTTCCTCTAGCCATCCCTGGACTTCCTCCACTTGGGTTTGATGAGTTGCCTAGTTTTCTTGCTTTCCCTTCGCATAATTCTGCATACTTGGAATCAATCATGAGGGTATTCGCAAGGCTGGATGAAAATGACTGGGTTTTTGCTAATTCTTTTGAGGATCTGGAATATGAGGTACCTGTCTAAAATGATTTTTTTTTTCTTTTTGTCTAAAATGAATTTATGTTTTACATCAACATATTTACAGTGCTGTGTTCTGCATTACTTTTATGTGAGAAAAAGGTTATTCATGGAAAATGATAGGTCAGTCATGACAAGTAGCAATAAGTTTATATTGTTTTTTTTATCAGAGAAAAGTAGCAATAAGCTATTTAATAAACCAATCATTTTGAGATAGCAAAAGGGAAATTTTGGTAAACTTTCAATTGGTGTGTGTTCTTTTGTTGGAAAAATCAAATTCGGATTGGATTTAGTGAAGGGATTTCCTTAATTTTGATCCTTGTGCCATTATTGATGCCAAAAATTTAATGGTAACAAATGCAATGGAGCATAAAATCCTATTAGTTACATAACTTGGTCAAAAATAATGTCACCAAGCATCACAACCCCAGCTTTATGGTGAATGCTTTTTTCTTGATCCTGGAAAAGTTGATGGGAGTTTTTTTAATATATTTATATGAACAATAGGCATGAGAATGAAACAGCCAAACTTTTTTTGATTAAGCTTTTCACCTTCACGAAAAAAAAAAATTCAAAGAAAAGCTTTTTACCTTGAAACTCCTAGTCAACGAAGATCATGAACAATTTTAAAAGGTAGATTTTAGCTTCGGAATCTGCCCTCCTTAGGCTTATTAAATTTCAAGACATCAAAATATTGTGGAAAGATGAAATTGCTCCTCATGGAGAAATATGGCATCCCATTTTTATTTGCTTATTTATTGTAAAGAAACATGGAATTTCTTCAATGGGAAGGATTGAATAAAAGCTGCCATGCTCACTATGAACAATTGCTTATCGCACTTCAACTAACCAAGATATAATAATTGACCAAATATTGCTATCATTGTTGGTTATTGACATATATTATATTTTGTTTTGATGCTCCAAAAGTTGGCTAAGGCCCTGACAGGACTTTGGCCAGTACAAATGGTTGGACCAATGGTACCATCCGCATATGTAGAGGGGCCAATAGCAGGAGACTCAGATTATGGAGGCAGTCTGTGGAAGCCAAGTGACCACTATTTGAAATGGTTAGACGAAAAGGCACCAAAATCAGTGGTTTTCGTGTCATTTGGGAGCATGGCAGATGTTGAAATCAAGCAAATTGAAGAAATTGCCTGTGGCTTAAAAGGCAGCAACCATCACTTTCTTTGGGTAATCAAAGACTCTGAGCAAGAAAAGTTGCTTACTGAATTTCTGCAATCAAATGATGAAATGGGATTTGGAAAAATTGTAAAGTGGTGTAATCAGCTAGAGGTATTGGCTCAAAAATCTGTAGGGTGCTTCATGACACATTGTGGTTGGAACTCAACACTTGAAGCAGTAAGTCTTGGGGTGCCTATGGTGGCATTGCCACAATGGAGTGATCAGCCAACAAATGCCAAATTTATTGAAAGTGTTTGGAGGGTAGGAGTGAGGGCTAGAAGGGATGAGAAAATGATTGTTACAAGAGAAGAAATTGAGAGGTGTGTAAGGGAGGTAATGGTTGGAGAAAAAAGTGATGAAATTAGGATTAATGCCTCTAAGATGAGAGAGCAAGCTAAAAGGGCAGTTTGTAATGGTGGGAGCTCAGATATTGCTATCAACAATTTTGTTGAAGTGTTGATCAAAGGGAAGGGAACTAAGCTTTGATTAATCAGATATCATATAACATCATCTGGTTTCAGATAAATCAGCTGGAATCAAGGAAAGTTTTCTAGACATGTTTTATTAGCTAATGTTGTGTTTACATGTCTGTACCTTGTATGTGTGTATAAATATATACATGTATGTGTATTTCACAGTGTTTTATATTATAAAAAATTTCTGAAGGAAATAAAAGTACCTTGAAGTTTATGATAAATATTGTTCAAGTAATGTTCTTAGTGAGATTTTTTTATTTTTATTTTTTTTTTTTGGGTAGGGGTGTGAATTTATAAACAACTGTGGACTATAATTTTCTTCACCTTAGTGCCTTTCTAGCCCAAGGGTCCACAGGGTTGAAGCTCAAGCTGGGGTTAAATATTTTTAGGATAGTAATATGGTTACAGTCCTTTATTTTTTATGATATTTTATAGCGGAGGCCCAATTCATCTACTTCATTCAACTTGAGCTCGTTGTCTAATTTTTCAATGTCGCATTGGCGTCGAATTAAAGACAAACAGGTAAAACTAATGCATGGGAGAGAGATGTGTTGGATGATAAGATGGAAGGAATCGTAAATAAGAGATTTTAGATTTAAAACCTTCTATTTATAACAAAAAAAGAGATAAAAACAATGAATAAATGGCAAGAATCATTAACACAAGCGTAGATGATAGATGTGCTAGCTATATTAATGATTCGTCTCAATATCTTGTATATGTTTTGGAAAAGGAAGCAACCCTTTCATTTTTTGATAGCTGGTGATTTTTTTTTTTCCCAAACGATAGCATACACATTTCCAGAAAACTATTACACTGTTTGAGCAACTGCTCTTACATCTGTTTTGGCTAAACACGTAAGCCAAGTTGGAAAAGAATCCAACCAACATATTTCATCCTTCAAGCTTATGGCAAATCTTGCCAGCTTATGAGAGACACAGTTACCCTCCCGTCTAACAAAGGAGAAGTAACATTCTTCAAAACTTCGGCTTAACAACAGAATATCAGCTAGGATAGTACCCGTAATTGGGTCATCAGCATTCTTGTCCTTAAGCTTATCCACCATCAGTTTACAATCCGATTGAATCTCCACCTTGTTCCAGCCCCTCTGCTTTGCCTTGATAACAGCTTCTCTAATGGCTAATGCTTCCTCCACTGCTGGGTTCCCTTCCCTCCTTGCCCCTCCTGCCCATGCTCCTGCTACCGCCCCATCCTCCTTTCTGGCCACCACTCCCTAACCTATTCTCCTAAACTTCTGCTCTACAGCAGCATCAGAGGGGGTGGATGCCAACTATTCAATTTTGTCTTTCAGTGTTCCCTATTAACATCTGTTTTGACCTCCCCATCTCTTGCTTCATTGTATTCCACCCACTCATGCATTGCCTTGTTTACAGTTCTTCCAGGACAGTTTCTAACTCCACTAAACTGAATTTGGTTTCTATCCCTCCATATCTGCCAAAGAATATTTACTGTCAATGCAATGTGAGTCTTCCCCTCAGGTCTCCTCTCAACATCCATCAAGCCATTCCACCAATGCCAGAACTTGTGCCTGAAATCATTTAGCCCATCCCAGTTAATTGGAGCTGCTTTCCATATATACTCAGCATGGCTGCAAAAGAAGAACATGTGTTCTATTGTTTCTGACATTTCCCCACAGCACCTACACCTGTCCTCCCCTAGACCTGTTCTCCTTTTAATAACCTCATTAACTGGTAAGACCTCATGCAAACACTTCCATATAAAATGCTTCAGCTTACACTTCATGTCTAGATTCCATAAACACTTCCACGCCTTGGAGTTAGGAGCCTTTCTGCTATGGTTAGCTTCTTGCCTCTGCTCCACCTACCTCTCCTCCCTCATGTCTCTTACCAACATATACCCAGTCTTCACAGAGTACTGACCAGATTTAGTAAGAGGCCACACCAATTTATCCTTCCTCGCACATACACTTATAGGAATATCTTCAATCTTCCTACACTCTTCATCACTGAAGATCGATCCTAACAGCTACCTATTCCATTTACCCTCTTGAATCAGTTCGTGTACCCCTTGAACTGTACAATCCACTGGCTTGCTAGTTCTCACCATGCCTGATCCTCTACCTGGTAACCATCTATCAGTCCATATGTTGATTGTTTTTCCATCCCCTACCCTCTTCCTAACACCACTCTCTAGTACCTCTCTTGCACTCATGATACTCTTCCAAAACCATGAATCCCCTGCCCTTATTCTCGTTCTCCAAATGGACTCACCTTTGAAATACTTTCCTCTCATTACCTTGCTCATCAACAGATTTGGATTAGTTAGGATTCTCCACAACATCTTAGCTAACATAGCACTATTGAAGTCCTGCAAATCTCTAAAGCCTAAGCCTCCCTTTCCTTTAATGTCAGCCAGCTTCTTCCACTCCACCTAATGAATTTTCTTCTTGTCTTCACCATTTCCCCACCAGAACCGAGCCATTTCCCTACTTATTTCTTTACACAAATTCTTAGGCAGTCTACAGCAATTCATAGCATATGCAGGCATAGCTAGGATTACTGATTTCAACATCACTTCCTTACCAGCTTGGCTCAGCAATTTTTCTTTCCATCCTTTAAGTCTCCTTAACACCTTCTCCTTGATGTAGTTAAAAACCTGTCTCTTGGATCGACCTATAACCATTGGTAGACCCAAATACTTACTCTGTCTCACCTGCTGCATTCCCCCCAATATCCTCAGAATTTCCACCTTCTCCTCCATCATGTTTTTGCTATTTGTACAACTGTACCAGATGACTGGTATGTTGACTCGGTTTGGTTTGTAACATGACTTCTCATTCGTTTCCCTTTTTTAAACATTTTTAATAGGGATAATATCATATACCTCCCTTAAGATTTCTCTTAATATCACTTGATATCTTTAATAATTTAAAAATATCACTTATCTCCATTACTTTTGTTATTTGTGCAGCAAAACTTTTAAAACCCTAAACTATTCTTTTACTTGCTAAATAAAAATATTTCTAAACCATTTTTTTCACTTCAGAAAAATTATCACATAAAAAACAATCTTTAGTAGTACTACCACATCATATTGCTATGACCCATAAAAATATAAATTTAAAAAATAAAAAAGATATTTTCAAAGAAGTACACTTACACCAATTTAACTTTATATGCTCAAAACTTATTTCTTATGAATTTTATATATTTTTTTGAACATCTTCTCAAACCATGTCCAAACTTTTAAATTGTACTAATCATTAAAAAAATTGACTCAAAATAAGCAAATAAATTATACCCACTCTATCACATCACAAAATATAAAAGCTAAATAAAATTTGATTTATTATAATTTACAAATAAAATATTGCATGGTCATCCAAAAAATGAGTAAGAGAGAAAGAGAAGAAAGTGACTTTTGTTTCTTTTTTTTATTATTTTGAGTTCTATTTATTTGATATATAAATTATGTAGCAAGTGAGGGCTAATATGGTCTTTTTACAATTATTAGGGGTCAAGTAAAATTAGGAGAAACCTCAAGGGAGGTTTATGATATTATCCCTTTTTAATACTACCCTTTACCTAATACCAGATTATGCAAAAGTTAAGGGAAAATAGTCAAAGATGTATAGCGGGTAAGCTTTTACCCTAACACCAATTATGCAAAAGTTAACCCCTCCTCACACACACACACACCAGAAGCACGCACACACACATACATATATACATATACATATACATACATATATATATATATATATATATATATATATGATGTAATTTCTCATTTGTTTCCCTTTTATAAACATTTTTGAACATCCTTATAAATATTGATTCTTATCATTATAATATTCCAAAGTGTTTCAACATAAATAGCGATTATGTATAATAAATTTATAAATTTATACTCAATTCGTGCCAAAATTTGTTTACTGTGGCAGTATAAGAAATATTAGTTCAAAATATTAATATTATTTATTTGTCCTGTGTGACAATGAGTTTGTTTGAATTGCTATTTATTTGTCAAAATATATTTACTTGCATCATCATTACAATTTTTAACACATCTTTTTATCTTTCCAATTACTTTTTTATCTCACATACATCACATCACAAAAAGTGCTATAATAAAAATATCTCTAATAATTTACAATCCAAACAAACCCAATAAGTAAATGGGATAATTTCAGAAACCTCCCCTGAGGTTTCTGACACTTTCACTGACATCCCCTGAGGTTCTCAAAATTTCACTTACCTCCCTTGCTTTTGATTTTGTGGTAACAATCCAGTCCAAATCAGATTAAAATATTATTTTCATGTGTGAGAAGGTATTTTTATTCCATAGCTACCCTTTGCAGAAGTTGTATTAGTAGAAGATTCAAAGAAGAATAAATGATTTGGACTAATTAGTAAAGTTGAGGGGGGGTAAGTGCAATACAAAAAATTGCATGCACCAAATGTGCCATGCAACAGTTATTTGGCAGATTTTGCAACGGCTAGCTGCAAATTGCAACGGCCAGAAGGTTTGCTGTTTCAGTAGCAATAGCATATAAAGCAAAGCAACTTAACTACCTCTGAGGTTTCAAGCTATTAACATTCTTTGCTACTAATTTGGAGTGATAACAAGTGCATTTGCTGTGCTACAATTAGAGCTCTGAGTAAAAAGTTTTAGCTGCAACCATGGCCTCTTCAAGCCATAGGGGAGAATCATGGAATTCACCTACATCTTTCTCCATTAAAAACAGGTTTTGCCGCTGTAATCGCAAAGCAACCGTAATGATATCAGAGAGTGAAAGGAATCCAGACAAGTTGTATTTCTATTGAGAAATTTCCAACTTTGTGATGAATTTTAAAAAAATTCTACAAAAGGGGTGATTTTGGGTTTAATTTCCGTCAGGGGGGTCTTCGCATTTGTGAATTTCACAAATGCGAGCTTACAAGAGCTCGCATTCGTGGAATGCGAGCTCTGGTTATTGAGCTCGCATTCCACGAATGCGAGCTCTTCTCAATTTTTTTTTTCCTTTTTTAAGAGCTAGGGAATTATTTCTAGGAAGCAAATGCGAGCTCTTATCTTTTTTATTTTGGTATTTTTTGAGAGGTAGGGAATTATTTGCAGAAAGCTTCTAATTTTTGTTTTAAAAAATGTTGCAAATATTTAAAATTTTGCAAATAGCTCGCATTTGTTAAATTTGACCTGCAAAAATTGTATTTAACTTTTTTGTTAGATTTCGCATTTATAAGTATGACTTGTAGAAAATTAGATTCAAATTTAGATGTATTAGGGTTTTAAAAATATTATATAAGTGATAAAAATTTTATAAATTGTAAAAATAAAATCAAACTGCTTGGATAATTAAATGTTATATTTGCATAAGAAATAATACAATAATCATAATAATGATAATACAATAATATTGGTGTAATAAAACTGCCATTAATTTAAATATTTACTTATAATGCCCAAAGAGCCTAATTACCAATTTTTTCTTCTCGCGCTCAAATATAACATTAACCCGCATGCGAGCTAACCTTGAAATAGAAAAAACACAGAATCCCACTTGCGGGTTTCAGGAGTATTCGGATATTCTCATATGCACCTATGCAAATCGAACCAACCGGATATCTTATCCGTATCCCATTTTTTTAAATAAAAATCTTATAAATTTGAAAAATAAAATCAAATTTAGATGTATTAGGGTTTTAAAAATATTATATAAATCAAGTTTCTATTATTGTTGTTAAACTTAATTAATCATATCAGATGCCATTATGTAACTAAACGATAGTAATTAACCCCAACTACTTGGGATATATCTGTAATTTTGGCCCTGATGACGTCAGAAAAGGGGCCCAATTTTTTATCAAGGGAGGTAAGTGAAATTTTGAGAACCTCAGGGGATGTCAGTGAAAGTGTCAGAAACCTCAGGGGAGGTTTTTGAAATTATCCCTAAGTAAATTGTAGAAAGCTCAGGTGAAATTCAGCTATGTTAAGCGCAAACCAATTCCTCCAAAGTCCAAAACAACTTGTAGCAGTTGAAGTAAGAGACACGTAAGAGACAGCAGCACAGAACCCTTGTGGCAGTTGAATGATTTTTCCACGCTGACAACGCCTTTTGTCTTTATCTGTTTTGGCCTCAATTGTTTGCTTTTTTTTTTTTTTTTTTTTTTTTTTATAAATTGTTTGCTTAAAATAAAAGAAGTTTTTCTTTTGCCATAAAAGCGCTGCAAGGCAAACTTCTTCTGATATTCTTGAAATTGTGAGAAGTTTCGATTCTCTTCTGATTTTGAGAATTTCTTTAACGATCCCGTCTGGGTTTTGTTTGGATTCCTTGACAGATTCACCAAAAGCAGAATAAAAAAAGGAGCGAGAAGAATGGCAGACTGAAGAATGCAGCAAGCTTGGATCAGAGGAAGGAAACTGTTCTAGTTACGAGGGGTTGGCAGTTTTGCGCTCAAAGAGGTAAGTGAAGATCAAATTTTCTTTAATTTTGTTGATGAATATAGTTTAGTACTGAAATTTGTTCTAATTTTTGTACTGTGCTTGTGAATTTTTTGTTCGTTCTGGGCTTTTGCTGTCTAATTGAAATGATAGGTTGGAAGAACTTGAGGATATGGTGAATCAGAAATTCAACAGTATAAGAAACCCTCAGGAGCAACGGTTCGAGGAGATGAATCAAAGAATTGTAAGTTTGATTTTGGCCAAGATTCATGATTTGGTTTGGAATTGAGTTTAGCATATTTGAAGGTATTTTCTCGTTCTCAGCTGTCTGGCTTTTTTCCCCACCAAAGTTATGAACGTTTGCGTCCTTTTCTGTTCGTTCTTTACTTTTGTACTCTAATAGAGATCTCTGGAAAAAGAAACGTATAATGCTTATAAGAGTTCAAAGGTAGCTCTGTACATCTGTGCATTTCTTGAATAGAGAACTTGAAGCAGTATGAAACAAACAAAAATTGGATAATTATTACTTTAATATAGATAGTTGCTAAAAATTGAAGATTATTACCTAAAAGATGAAGAGAACCACTTGCTGACTAGCTGCTTATTATTTCTGTCTCTTCTATTTCATTTTTTCTTATTTGAAATCCCAGTAGTAGTATCCATGTTGGTCTGTAATTGTCATCTGTTGTTGAAGTCTTTGTGCATGCTATAGATTTCTTCGTTATTGCCAAAAACAAGAAAATTTTCCAGCAAATTGAAAAGGCAAGATTATTTCTTTTTTCTTGCAAATCAAAGAAATTTTTGCTTTCTTGCTTGATCAATATTCTTCTTATTTCTACTCATGGAAGTATATTTATTTCCCCAAAAAATTTTGTTGCCATGTGAGCAGAAGAAGTTTTCACCTTTGTATTCGTCTGAGATCTAATAAAATCCCAAGTATGAACTCTGCCAATGGATGTATGATAATATTGAGATGCTTCTGTTTCTGATTTATGCTTCTTGCATCAATTGAAGCTTGCTATTGGTCAAAGAATAGATAAACATGAAGAGGTTGTGGAGAAGCTTTTGGTTAGTAGTGGGAGGTAAGAAGCTAACTCAAAGCTCCATTTTGAACTTCCTGGTACATGATAGTTGTATAGTGTTTTCTTATTTACATTATCTATGTAAGTATAACAGCTCAGACATGCCTATGCTTCTTGTCCAGTAATCTTGAGAAGACAATACAGGACACCAAACAAAGATGCATGAAGTTAAAATTCAACCGCAATATCTCTGTTCCTATTCGAACTGGAGAGCAAATCAAAGGAGAAGGAGGTAGCAATTTGCAACTGTCTCTGATTGATAATTGTACAGGAGCAGTTGTTGACTTTGGACGAGAAGCCTCTGCTAAAGTGGAAATAGTTGCTCTCAAGGGAGATCTGGATGATGATGAGGGAGATGCGTGGACAGCTGAACAGTTTCAAAGTAAAATTGCTCGAGACAGGGAAGGAAAACAATATGTTCTTGCAGGAAATTTGCAACCAAAATTGAATAAAGGAACTGTGTCTTTGTCTGATGTTATGTTTAGAAGCTCTCAACGCCATAATGGTGGCATCTTCAAGCTAGGGGCTTGGGTTGTTGATACTTTTGATGGCAGTCAAGTAATAGAAGCGAAGACAAAATCTTTCAAAGTCCTTGACTATCGTGGAAAATGTAAGAGATCCCAGTCCTTTTTTCTCCTTTTTTCCCCCCTCTACTATGTCATTTTACCCAATTCAAATTAAACATGGTCAAAGGATTGAATGCCATTATACTAGAGAACTGCTTTAAGATAAAAGTAAATGGGCACTGTGAACTTGGCATTATTAATTGTAAAAACTGATCTGAGATGTTGATATGAGAGTCAAAAGATGAATTAATGAGGCCTGAAGTTAGGTTGTCACTTGATATTAACACCAGAAGAGACCAAAATCAAATGAAATACTGTAGAATAGATAAAGTTTGTAGTTGTTGAAAGGAAATGAAAAGAGGGTTGAGAATTGTGACAGTTGGAGAATGCCTATAAACGTATGATAGAGATCTATTGGATTACTTTTGATTTCCTAGGGGATTTGTGAATTCCATTTTTTTTTGAAAAAAAAGCATATTGTAAAGCTTTTCTGTTAGCATGTTTTTAGTTGATACTTGTAACTCAGTTCTAAATAGGCAAAATATTTGTTTTCTGGTATTTCTGTATTCTTTGTAAGTTTCAACTTTGAGTATTGTCACATATGAGGTAAATGTTCCGCTGAAAAGCAGGACATCAAAGGATCTAGCATCTTGAGAACTATGCTGTTACGCAAATCAAACAAATAGAAAACTGGGATGACGAGTATAAGAACTTCAACATCTGCTAAATGCTAATTCTGCAGATACCTAGAAGCATTACCCCCCATCTGCGTCTGATGAGGTTTGGCGGTTAGAGAACATTTCAAAAAATGGTGCTACCCATGAACGTCTGAAGGGGGCAAATGTGAACTGTGTGAAGGATTTCCAGACTAGACTCTCAGAAGACCCGGAAGAGCTCAAATGTGTAAAGTTCACTCCTTTACTTAATTTATACAGGCACTCTGCAACAAATTATTGGGTGCATACATGATTCACCGCATCTTCTTGTTCAACATGGCCAGTTTAAACATACTATTTATAGCATTATAACCATGTCAACTAAGTAGAACTTTACTTACCTAAAACTCTTATCATTTTCCTCTTTCGCCTTTGTATATTCTTAAGGAGCCTGATACCTGTCTATGTAGCTGTGCCACCAGCTTTTACAGCTGATTTGTCCTTATCACTGAAAATGAGAGCTGCTCTCTCGCATGAAACTCTTCTATTTCTTATGCTAATTGGTTATCTACAAGGTGTGTGCTATCTAGGATAATGTTAAGACAGCAAATAAATGCCCAAAAAGAAATGCAAGACCACACTACATTTCTGTAATAACCCTTCTGCTCGATGCTGGACCTTTTTTTTTTCCTTCAAACCTAATGCTGGTTTTTGTTTTTTGGTAAGCTAACCTAACAATAATTGAGTGGATGAAGTTCAAGATCTCGTGAATAGTTGGAAAGTTTCTTACTCCGTATTTTAGAATTAATGCATGTTATTTTGTACAACTGACAGCTAGTAGGTCTACGTCCAACGCAGTGGGAGGCCACGGTGAGACACGCTCAAACATGCAAACCTGATAATATGGTTGGACAGGTTCCAGCCCCTGCACCAGTATGTGTAACTATGTTATATAATCTACCAGAAGAGACCACGGAATCCTTCATGAAAACCAATTACACTTTCTTTCTCTCTTTTCCTTTTCCGTTTGTTGTACTTCAAGCTTGTGGCAGTTTATGAATATTCATTGACAGGGTGATGCTTGCAATATGTTAGTAGCATCTGCACATGAAGACAAAGGAATCCCTTTTGATGGTAATATCATGCCAGCTTTGGAGTCAATAACCTTGCGAAGAAAGCAAAAATTGATCGAGCCAGCTTTTGAGCCAATGATCCGTAAAATTGTAAGCTCCTCTTTCAAGCAATTCCTGTCTAACAATTTCTCTCCTGCATTTTACGTTGATGAAAAATTTTGCTTAGCAACTGTTCTTTTAGATTTAAGTCATTGGTTTTAGATGTTAAGAAGCCTTGGACTCCTGATACTCGAAAAAGGATGAATGGATTTATGTCTTAGTCAATTCTTTCTGGAGAGCTTATGCACAATCAATTTCGGGGTGTATTACATTCTTATATGACCAACTATCATGAAGTGGTGAAAGTTAGGGAAAAAGTTAGTTCTATGCCTTAGTTTCCAGTTTACTATATTTCTTGATGTCTAATATGTTCAGTCAAGTCTTACTCTTCTCCATAGCAACATGCTTCATATGAGAAGCTGATCTTGGTTAAGTTGTTAAAACATATGCAAACATTCTGGATGCTTTTTTCTTGAAGTGGACTTGCAGAAACAATCTGTTTAGAATTCAATTCAGAAATACATCTATGCATTCCTCTGCCTTTCAGTTCTGTTCTGCTTTAATTTATTGGTTGTCTAAAAGGGATTATGCCAAGAGATGGTGCAACTGTAATCTTCAGTATGATTTGAATGTTTACAGATTCAATACTACAAAAAAAGCACCACTATGCAAATAGGACCTAGCGCTTTTTAATACCTTGCTCGTGGAGTTTCTTCCCCTTCGTTCTTTATTTACTTATCCCAGAATGCTATTTTGTTGATTTGTTTAATGAACTCTCAGGTGAAAGAGGAAGTTGACTTGGCAATGAAAAAGTACTTGATCGGTATGAGAAGGTAAATATTGAGAGTTATGCTCAAAGTCTAGCCTATTACCTTTACTACTCTAAAATGCTAATTAGATGCGTAATTTTTTAAAATAGGACTTGCGAGAAAGAGATATGCCCTTCTGAATCAGGAAGTTTACAGTTACAGTTTCTAAGTGGCATCTCTCTTCCAGTTTTTACTGGAACACGTATAGAAGGCGAGGATTTTAACATTCTACAAGTTGCCTTAGTTGATCCTTTTACTGGGCAAGTTGTTTCCATTGGTCCTCAATCTGCTGCAAAAGTTGAAATAGTAGTTCTTGAGGGAGATTTTGATGGTGATGAAAGTGATAATTGGACCTTTGAAGAGTTCAAGAATAATATTGTCAGAGAAAGGGAAGGCAAGAAACCCCTTCTTACTGGGGATGCTTTTTTGACTCTATAAAAGAGGGCATTGGTGTGGTCAGTGACATTTCTTTCACAGACAACTCAAGCTGGACAAGAAGTCGCAAATTCAGGCTGGGGGCAAGAGTTGTGGACAATTCTGATGGTAACAGAGTGAAAGAGGCCAAAACAGACTCCTTCATTGTCAGGGATCATCGTGGCGAATGTAAGAATTCTAATTGCCTCTCTCTCTCTCTCTCTCATGCGCATTGCTTGACAGGTAAGCAGAAATATTTTTTCTTGTTATTGTTGTGCTCCTTTTTCTCAAAGCAAGCCTACCAATGCCAGTGACATTCATGATGAAAACAAAATTTGGTTCCAACTTTTAAAGAGGGTTTTTTTGTTAAAATGTTATGGTTCAGGCTTATAGTTAACTCTAAGTTGTTAAGTCTGCAAAGGAAGCAAAATTGTCGGTTAATGGGAACGGCTCAACTTCGGTTCTCATTGTGTAGGCAATAACTGGAACTACAAGTATTTATTAGTTCTGAGTAGTCTCCATTATTGAAGCTTTACTTTTAGATGTTAAATTCATCATTGGTTTCCTGTGCTATTTCTTTTTCCCATAGTTTTTAGTCACTGCTCTTCTGATGGTTGAAGATGATTCATGTGCTCTTTTTCATTGCTCTTATCATGCATTTTTCATGTGCGCATGCATTTCTTTTTCATTGATGCAAGTCATCAATTGCTGGAAGGTGCTATCATCGTGGAGCAGCCTTTTTTTTTTTGCTGCCTCCATCATATGATCTTGTGTACTTTGCTACATTATATTTTTACTTGGTACTTTTGCATCTTCTAGAAGTCGGGAGAAGTTGACTGCACACACTAGTTATGGATGTCTGATGACCTGTTGGTTTACAAAGATGAAGTAATAATAGAGCTTTTGGATATCACAAATAATTTCATTTGATTGAAACTATTTCAGATTTTCGTCAGTTGAAATAATGGGGATAAGTAGCTCGGCAAAGGTACAATATTTTGGTTTCCTGGATTCTAAGATCTGAGCCCATCTGTCTTATGGAGCATTTGATCCTTTTTTTTCTGTGGAGTACATCTTTAGTCTAAATTTAATAATACTATGAAAGTACCTGTGTACTCACTGCTTCTAAATGCCCTTCCCATCTCCTTTTTCCATGAAAGGTATTCTGTTCCATTTTATTGTTGGACATATCCAATCAGAAGTATAGAGATGATGCTTATTTGTCCTGTATTCAATTTTTGGAACCTAATAACGGTACATTTTATAAACTCTGCATGTTTAATATTTTCTGCATCACTAAGTTGCTTGAACTTGAACCTCAATTATACTTCTATAGCTATCTTCACCTTTCAAACAGCTTCTTGCTATACCACTCTGGTGTTTAGAGACAATAGACATAATACGTATCTTCCTTTTAGGTTTATCTTGTCTGTGTTGCATATTGCAAGGCTTTTGCTTCATGCATTTTATTTGAAAACTAAGAAAAATGGAGAGAAAATACTTTTTTTCATCTTATTAGGACTACACAATATACATATATATATACACAAGTATAACCTAATTTAGATCTTAAAATCATGCTAATCTAAATCAATCTATTACCTAATTAATACATGATACTATAATCATATGATACCTAATTAATACATGATACTATAATCATATCTTTCCTAATATTAGATCACATATTTTCAACACTCCCCCTCAAGTTGGAGTATAGATGTTGCTTATGCCCAGCTTGTTACAAAGGTAATCTACTCGAACCCCATGTAGAGCCTTCGTAAAGAGATCCCCCAATTGTTCTCCAGTCCTTACAAATCCTGTAGAAATCAAGCCCTGCTGTATTTTCTCACGAACAAAATGACAATCTATTTCGATGTGTTTTGTTCGCTCATGAAATACGGGATTGGATGCAATATGAAGATCGCTTGGTTATCACACCACAATTTTGCAGGCAGTGAGGTTTTGAGACCTACTTTAGTTAGAAGTTGATTTATCCACATGATTTCACATGTCGATTGTGCCATAGCTCTATATTCTGACTCTGCACTCGATCGCGAGACAACATTCTGCTTCTTACTCTTCCATGAGACCAGGTTTCCTCCAACAGAGACACAAAATCCAGTTGTGGATCTTCGATCTGCCTTGGATCCTGCCCAATCAGCATCTGAAAAACACTCAATTCTAGTATGACCATGATTTTTATCTAGAATACCACGTCCAGGAGCTCCTTTTAAATAACACAAAATTTGTTCTACAGCTGCCCAATGAGTAACAGTAGGATTTAGACATATATTGACTAACAACACTAACTGAATACGCGATATCTGGACGAGTCACTATAAGATAATTCAACTTTCCAACCAATCTTCTATACCTCCCAGGATCTTCTAACAATTCACCTTCTTTTGTGAGCTGCAAGTTAGGGATCATTGGGGTACTAGCTGGTTTAGCCCCCAATTTTCCTGTTTCAGATAGTAAGTCAAGAACATATTTTCTTTGGGACAGGAATATCCCCTTCCTACTCTTTGCTACCTCAATACCCAAAAATACTTTAATAGTCCCAAATCCTTTGTCTGAAATTGACTATGGAGAAAAGTTTTAAGAGATGAAATACTTGCAGCATCATTCCCAGTGATAACAATATCATCCACATATACTACCAACAAAATAATACCAGCTTCAGACTGTTTGTAGAAAACAGAGTGATCAGATTTGCTTTTCTGCATCCCAAACCTTTCAACTGCTAGACTAAATTTTTCAAACCAAGCACGAGGACTTTGTTTGAGTCCATACAAGGACTTCCGAAGATGACAAACCTTCCCAGACTCCCCCTGAGCAACAAACCCTGGTGGTTGCTCCATATAAACTCCCTCTTGGAGGTCTCCATGAAGAAAGACATTCTTGATATCTAGTTGATGCAAAAG